TATATATATATATATATATATATATATATAAATTTTGTCTCACACCACCAGTTCCTCCAGAAGTGTTTTTAAAGGCACCTAAAGAAAAGCATTGTTATGTGAATCATTTGTTCTCTTTTAGGTAAAGAAAGCTTTCTTTGCCTTGGTTGCTAATGGAGTTCGAGCTGCGCCATTATGGGAAACCAAAAAGCAAAGCTTTGTGGGTAAGCAATGACACGTGCACACACACTCATACACATGCTCTCACCTGCATTTCAGTCATTCTTTTCACTGGAGTTGTCTTTTATAGGTCATATAGGACATTATTTGTTCACTTGTAACATAATTGGACATGCTTCGGTTAGCTTGCTAACAATAACATGTACCAAATTGGTTGAAATTCATTGCTGCCTGTTTCCTGTCTGAATTGTTTTGAATTGTAGATATTGATAAACTGACCTAGATGGAATCTGCTGATGTTTTTCTAATTTTCTGTGCTGATATTTTACACGAAAGCATGAAAGAAAATGTTAACATGGTCAAATGTGTTAAATGATCTGAGAGCTCTTGTTGGTAAATGAACAGCAATGTATTATAGCAAATGCACAAAGGACATTGGATGCATATTCTGCAAAATCTGCGTGCACTGTTTCTCTGTGAGCCTAGATATGAGTCATATCTAATGATATGTTTTCTCAATAGGAATGTTAACCATCACAGACTTCATCATCATCCTGCACAGATACTACAAATCGCCGCTGGTAAGGATTCAGACATCACAGAAACTCAAATACAACCAAAGTTTTGCTGGTCAGTGTCATTTTGCTCAGTGCTGGTTTGTGGTTAATGGCTGTTCATGTGGGTTTGGCCGGAAATTACCTTCAAAAGTGGCTTCAAAAATTATTTTCAGCTTGTAGACCTTGCATGTAATCACTTAATGAATGTTCACCAAAGAGGAAGGATATTTGTCCATTTTAAAATTGTAAGTAATTTTTTGTGTTATATGCCTCAGGTGCAAATATACGAGCTGGAGGAGCATAAGATTGAGACCTGGAGAGGTAAATATTTTCAGCGTTTTCACTTCATCGCTGCTTACACTAATTTGCATTTATATAGATTTGTAATTATTCACTGAACACATTTTTGTACACCCAATGGGCCTCATTCATGAAACACGAGCAGAACGAATTTTTGTGTAAATCGTTCGTAAAGCCGTTCTGACGTAAACTTTCGAATTCATGAAAATGTTCGTATTTTCAAAATGTTAGTTGGTAGGAAAGAAATGTACACCTGCTCCACGTGTAAATGGTGCGTAAAACGATCTTCTGTGTTCAATTTGGCAAACTGATGACACTGAATTTGATGCACTGCCATTATAATATTTTACAAGTTTGTTTGCTCCGTTTTTTTTTTTTCTTTTTTCTTGTAGCTGAGAATTGATAAACTGTTTAGCTTTGGGTAAAACGCAGCACTTGTCACTCTCACTTTTTACCCAGCCGTCCAATCAATGGAGGAGGGGCGGGACAAATCCTACACCAACCAATCATCCTACTTGTACAACAACTGAACAACAATAGAGAAGTTAATATTGCTGGTTACTGCATTTGTATATTCAGTAATATTCTGCAAAATGAGATACTAGTAATGCGTGGATATTTCAAATCATAGCAACCAAAGCGTCTCTCAGCTAGAAAAACGCTGTGCCACCAAAGCGTTCTCTAGCACCACCAGCTGGCCATTTTAAGCTAGCTAAAAACGCTTTTGTGGACACACGTTATTGAATATTTATTGTTAGGCATTTGGCCTATTAGTGTTTTTTGCATTTATGCAATATACTATAGCCAAACCTGAGAAAGTAGACCAGAATATTACACTGCATTCCTGGACACGCAATTTACGTAGCTGTAATTCATAGGCGGGGATTATGCTAATTGTGCCTATTTACGAATAATTGGAATTCATTAACATACACAGGTTTAACTATCAAATCTGATGAGTAATAAGTGCTTGTGAATTTGGAGGCGAGTTTTCGGGAAGGTCTGTTTTACGCGCAAATTACTCAGACTCCTATATTTAGGAATGTTTCATGAACGAGGCCCAATATGCGGATATATATTTACGCACACCCATGTCTGGAATTTTCTGCTTTTATATTCCATGGAAAAAAGTAAAAATTTGGAAAGAAATTAGTAAATAATGGCAGACGTTTCATTTAAAGTGCTTTGACCCTTTTTGATTTCTGCTTATACCAACAGAACTTTACTTGCAAGAAACGTTTAAACCCTTAGTCAACATATCTCCAGATGCAAGGTGAGACTTTAGGTCATATTTTTGTAGACTGTGTTTTATCATTTTCATTGCATGATGCTTAATCCTCTCTTTGGTTTATAAGAACATTATCTCGAAATTATTTTGAAACAAATTGAGCAATTAATTCAGATTCACATTTGTGACATTATCTGCTCAGCAGAGCTACAAATGTTTGGTTTCTTGTAACTCTTTGCTATTTTTTTCCAGTATATTTGATGCTGTTTACTCACTCATCAAAAATAAGATCCATCGTTTGCCAGTGATCGATCCAGTCACAGGAAACGCCCTCTATATCCTCACACACAAGAGAATTCTCAAGTTTCTGCAGCTCTTTGTGAGTATATCGCTTCCTTTTAGCTTACTGATCTTTTATACTATCATACTTTTAGAAATGGTAGTTGTTGTGAACAAAACAAACTAGTGAAAGGTTTCAGAAGAGTAATAATCATCCTGAGTTATGTAGTGTCATGTGCACAGTGATGGTTTTTGGTCTTGTAGGTGTGTGAGATGCCTAAACCAGCCTTCATGAGGCAGACTCTGGAGGAGCTGGGCATCGGCACATA